CAACCCTCCTGCTCTTTGTTCTTCTACATTTGTCTGCTGCACCTTCATTTCTGTCTTTATCGGTTTCTCCCTGGCTGGCTTTTATCACTTTGGTTTTGCTTTCTGTCCTTTATTTAATCTTCCTGAGTGTTTTCTCAGATTCTCCTTTTGTCTTTCTCGTTACCTTGTCTGTGTTTATATCTTTTGGGACTGCACTGTTGGAGACTGACAAATACAACCAATAACTAGGAAACCTTATCTGACGAGGCTGCCCTTGGTCCTCTTCCACACATATTACATCGGTGGGTTTGTTTTGTAAATTGCTTGTATTGTTTTGGCTTTCTCTACTTGAGCTTCTTGGAAATTTAGAGATTAGAAATTTGCACATGGAGGTTACCCAAAGAAAAAAGAGCCAGCATGGTGGCTTCTGAGGAAACTTCAAAGCTCTCAATGTGACAGGAAGCTTCTGCAACGCGACAAAGCCAAATTCAGCTCAGCAATGTCTTACATTCTTGCCAGCTATCCCAAGCAGCAGCATGCGTTTCTAATATCATTACCCTCTCGTTTCCTGTATGGCCCAGTCTTGCCATTCTGTGATGCAAGGCAGACTCAACCTGACGCTGCGAGTCTTCATACCTTACTGGTCTGAAAATAAAGCCAAAGTGAGCATGCTTTAAATCTGTTTTTTAATGGCCGGGGGGACTGCTGTGGTTTCAAAACAATGTCTGAATGTATAGAAGTCAACAGGAAAAAAAGACTCCTTAGATGCCCTGATCTATGTCCTCAAAAAAGCCAAAGCGCTCATGATCTTAATCGCTATTACAGCCATACTCAATGTTTTTTTTGTAAATTACAGTCCCCACTGGTGTTCAAAGTGATAATAATCCTCACTGCCACCCCAAACCAAGGTTTCCAAAAAGCTAAGATGGCAACAGCAGACGCTCAAAGCTTCAACAACAAGACGCAAACCAGATGATGTCCCAGTGGCTATAGCCATCATTTATAAACAGTATGTGGAACTGAACAACAAACACTGGTTTAACGTCCAGTAAGAATTGTATCGTATATGAAAACAGAGTTTGAGTATTCAAATTCTGTGTTGGAAGCTGTGGTAATATTAAAGTCTGAAATTTGCAATGAGCGAGATGAAAGTGTGTACAGACAGATAAAAAAAATAGAATTAACTATAACAGTAAATATTAGGGGTGCAACGATACACAAAATTCACGGTTCGGTTCGGTACTTTGGTGTCACGGTTCGATATTTTTTCGATACAAAAAAAAAATGTTCATGCCTTTTTAATTTGTAATTTTTTTAAATTATAAATATATATTTTAACTCAAAAGTACAGTTTTTAAATTTAATGTTG